TGGGTCTGCCCAACCTGGCTTTCCTCCTTCCTCCTCCCTCCCTCCTCCCACCTCCGCCCTCCTCCTTCATCCTCCACGCGCACCGCGGGAAGATCCTGGGCGTGTATGCCCTCGGCATCGGCCTTTTTGCCATTCTCTTGTACCCGTGCTCAGATCCCCAGTGGTACTACCGGGAAGAGGGTACGCGCCCTCTGTACTGGCGGTGAGAAGGCGGAGACGGAAAGGAAAGAGGGCAAGGGTACGTCGGGTTCTTGACGTGCCAGCTGCCGTGGGAGTGCTAGGAGGGGGGGTTTAACTTGTTTGTGAGGTGGAAATGGGATCATCGCAAGTCGCATGATAGGTTTTGGGTTGCGCAAGACGGCTGTGGAATTAGATGACGGGGAAGCCAGCTTCCAACCGTGATAAGGAGACCTAGCTCATAAAGGCTGAGTACGATGGACTGGGAAAAGGAAGAGTGATAGGTTGGATTTCATGTACAATAGACAATGGAAAGCGCGAGCAATAAGGTATGCTGGTAAAATAGTAAACATGTGTGTGGCAAAAGACTTGTGGCACGGATCGGCGTACGGGCCACACCATTACGAGATGAGTGTTCTAGACCTGCAGCGGCAAAGCTTTCTTCAAAGGCTGCTTGCAATGTAAAGGAAAGTGTATAACGAACGACATACTAACTGTAGAAGGAGATAGAGCCATGCTTATTATTCCATATGCTTTTCTTTCTTTTTCGGGTGAGAGAGCACTTTCCATTATACCACGAGCTACTAGAAGCAGCGTGAAGTCGGTCGAAAAAGGACAAAAGAACTGTACTGCAAAATGTTCGAGTCTCTCGTCTCCAATGGATCAGACATCATAACGAATGCTTGTGAGCGGTGTGTGCATGTCACTTGCCGGTGTGAAAGCGTGAAAAGGGACGGCGTGACATCACAGGCCATCAAGATACTCCCCTCTGAAAGCCCATTGCGCTTATGAACGGGCGTCTGTTTTGCGGTCAAACCGTATGACGGGGAAGTATTTTGCAAGTGAGGTTCATCAAGGTTAGGTCGACGTTGATTTGGAATGTTTGAAGGCCACGCAGAGTCAATTGTTTCCTTATTCACGGCCCCTTCTCGTGCTGACTCGGCCTCCTCCCTGACGCAAGAGGGCCGCCAGCGTGCCTGTACCTTTTTAACCTCTTTTCTCCTTGTGTCTTCGCTCTTATTTATTTTGAACGCATTCATTACTGTCCTCTTACTATTTTCAAAATTGAAAGCCTGTGGTCGACGTTCAGAAAGTGGTGCTTTTCCGTCCCTCGAGTCCATCCTGCATGTGAACTAATCCGTTGTGCATCGCTTGCATACTGCTTTTGTGCACCATGTTTTCCTTGCGATGCCTCAGTCCCATAGAATTTTCTCCCGTTCAACTTGTGCAAAACAGGGCGATATTCAGATTTTGTAGCGATGAGCAGCTTTGCCCTCCCTTGCCGTTTTCTCCTCCTGGTCTTCGTCCTCCTCGCTTCCCTTGCTTTTGCCCGCTCCATATCAGGTCGCTACCCCGGGCATCACCCAAGAATACAAGGGTTCATCGCGACCCTGTACGCTTCTCCTTCCTCCTCCTCCTCCTTTTCCTCCTCCTCACTAAGCAAACGCGGTCAGTTCAATGTTCGCACAGCTGCACTTCGGGATCCACGTTTCCGTTTTGCCCTTTGCTGCTGCTCCTCCTCCTCCTCTACCTCTTCCTCGTCTTCCCCTTCTGAAACCACTCCCTCCACCAAGGACGCGGCACTTGAGCGACTAGTTTCATCCCTGCTTTCGCTAAGAGGGGGAGGGGCCCAACAGGCAGCCGCTGCGGCCGCCGCCGTCCTAGGCCCGACCACAGTGCGGTAGGTGAGGCAGAGGAGGAGGAGGGCGGGAGGCAGGGAGGGGAGGGAGAAAGGGGAGCCGGACGAGGTGCATGCAATCAGCAAGGAGAGAAGGGGTATGTGTGTTGGGAGAGTCTTTTTTGCCGGGAGCGAGACGGCAAGGCCTTTCAGCCTGATGCCTATGACCTTACGCTAGTCACGCGCCCTTTCCTCCAGGTCCGGCTCGTCCTCCCCCCCACACCCCAGCCCTGATGGCACTCCCTTGCCAAAGCATTCCTCGTTGATGATGGAGTCGGAGGAGGGACAGGGAGACGAAGGGAGGGAGGGCGGGAAGCAGGAGTTTGGAAACACCCTGCCACGGATCAACTTGGCCCTTGTCTTCCCTTCCAATTGCTAGGAAAGCCGGATAAC